ATATAATTTCTCGGTAACCCGATATCGCTGTAGTTGCATATGCGCGATAAGAAAAGTTGCAGGAATAATTTTAATCCTTGAAGTGCATCAGAGGGTTGAACTCTTGTTCGCGAGCGAAACTTTCCTTATCTATACGTTTCTCAACATTGAGACAGTTTAGCAATGAATTGTATCTCCGGTGCGGAGGAAGTGCGCGACTTCTGAGATATCCTGTAGACATTATTCGAGGCGTGGTTGCGAGAAGTAGTGGCGCAGGATCGTGTACACCGTGCGTCCGTGCCGCACCGCGGTCACGCCGTATGGCGTACCACGCCTTGGTGATCACCGAGAGCGAAAAAGAGAGAGTGAGTGAGAGAGGGAGGGAGAAAGAGAGAAAGAAAATGAAAAAAAAAAGCTTTAAGACGTCTAGACGCGTGGGACGGACCGGGGTAATCTCGACTTCTCGACAACCTCGAGCGATTGGTGCTCGTTGCCTGCTTGCTCGCACTTTGCATGCGTTCTCGTATATGTAATACATATCTACGTACTCGACACATACATTCCGTGTCGTGGGGAAAAAGGCAACTGTTTTAATTGCTGAGCATTGTTAACCCTGGAAATCTCAGCCAGTGGTCGCCGCGACTTCTCCGATGCGTTTCAATTCCATCATGGAGACCAAAAGCGCTTTTAATCATATTTGAACCAGTCTATATTTCTTAATCATATTCGAACTAGTCTATGCTAACGAAAGGAAAAAGAACATTAAGTTTTTTGACAACGTCTTCTTAGTAATTATATTTTACTGATTATATTACATAAATTAAAAAGAAAATTATCTCTAACGTCAAATTAAACTAGTGATTAGTTTTTGAAACTGGGTTAAAACTCGATGCAACGACATGTTATGCATTTTAAATATAGATTGATTGGATTTACCATGGCTTGGAATATATCATTAATCCACTATTTTCTATTTTCATAATTGCAGAAATTTTCATCATGCAGATTCTTAAAAATATTGCATTTTTTTTATTGATCGTATCTTATTGCGTCCAGAAGATGATATATAGAAATTGAGCTTAAATCCTGTTTGCTATATATAACATACTGAAAAAAGTCTAGTAATAATGTAGCCTAGATGATGCCTTAGTAAATACAATGTAACGTAAATGTAACATGCCAGCTCAAGAGGATAACTCAACAAAATAACTGTAATATAATACAGTGTGTTATATTATAGTTGTTGAGTTATTAGAAATTTGGAAAAATAATTTCAATTACATATACTTATTATATTAAATATAGTAAATATATAATATTATAATATTAAATTAAAATTAAAATAATTAAAACAAACTAAATGTTTCTAAATATTATATTATATTTCTATCTATTACCAAATGATTGGTTACTTTTATTACGTTTAGTATTTTTACTAAGTAATATTACACCAATATACGTAAAGTAGTATTACACCAATATACGTAAAGAATAATTTTGTTAAGGTATTTGAAAATTTTATTGGATATAGATCTGAAAATAATTTTGGATATTTTTAGATCTGAAAATAACTATCAAAACAATTATATTAAAAATTAAAAAATGATTAGCAATATTGTAAACAGTTTTATCATTTTAGCAATCAATTTGAGCGTCATAGATTAATTATTTTGATTTATCAAAATTATTTTCAAATCTATTTAGCCAACTTTTTAAATACTTCAAAATTATACTTTCCGTGTATGTATATTATAAACAAAATACATTTAATAACTATTACCTTTTTCCGCAATATGTTCTACTACAATTATTATTTTGTTGCAATTATACTTAACGCACATTTTCGATTCTTATTTTCATGTTATAGATATTATTAATATTAGTCGAAGTTGCGCGTTGTCTTATCATATATCATTACTGTTACAGGTTTTAGCATCCGCGTCATCGTACGACCGGTTCATGAAAATCATTCAACGTCTACCTCCAGCTACAACATCAGTGATCACGCTCACCAATGCGGACATCATTGTCGCACGTTATTTTCTCAAATGTTCTCTTCTTCCTCCTCCGTTTCTTCATTCCTGGGGATTTCGGCCTGTGAACAGGAATCCGTCTTGAGCTTCCACCCTCGACCCAAATCTCGCTGGTCTCGTCATATCGGCCAATGTTATAGTTCTGTAAGCTTTCTCCATTTCTTCCTTCTTCCTCTTTTTCTTCTTCTCTTCTTTTTTTCTATCTTTCTTCCTCTCGGCACTGTCAATACTATCTTCTCTGCGGAACACAAATCATCACCCGTGTCAATTATTTTTTACGAGCATAACGGGAGATAGGAAACGCGTGTGGGTCTCGTGAGGTAACTAGCATTGCGAGATTACTGCGCAAAAAATTGTATCGCAATGTGCCTTAGAGTGCCTTAAGGAATTATAGAGGTTTGTCTCATATGCTCAGCATCGTCTAAGCAATGTAAGCTTATAAAACGATCCTTGCAAGTCTTTCTACGTTCTTTAAGCCTATTATTGCGTTATTTGAGCAATCGTATTATCGTTATCGAGTCGTTGAAAAGTTTTATTTTTAACAATTGCGAGAAACATAAGGCAGATACCGTTCGTAGTCGATGTGAATAGTAGTAGGAAACGACGAAATGATAACTATTAACGGCAGATTTATTTTGTGACCGATGCTATATGCCGTGTCTTTTATAGTTCCTCTTTCGACACGTACCGTTTTTATTCGATTAGAGAGCAATAAATCATAGCTTCGCACGGTGGACACGAAATTTCGATGGTCGTTACACCATACTGTTAGAATATCCGAATTGAGAAAATAAACGATATCAGATATATCTTATGAAGTGTTGAACTACTAATTTAAAGCGCAACTATACCTATATGTATTTTAACTATCTTTGGCTTTCACTTTTCACAAAGAATTTTTTAACGAAGATTTATGTTTTATATACATGTATATACAGAGTGAGCGTATACGTGATACATGTATGTACACACGCGTTTTGCGGACCATCTGCTTGCTTGAATCAACGCGTTTAAGCAAGTAGAATTTCAAAATAAATAGAACAAGCGAATGAACTGTGATAATACTGAATGAATCTATCGACATCTCGATTACATCGTATATGAATGAACGCTGAAACGTACGCAATCGACTACTATTAATTCGTGAATATATGTAAAAAGAAATTCTATAATGTACATGAGTTGAATTATCATGCTTGATATTTTCTTCCGAAATAACTTTGTAAAAAGCTTGTATAAATGTTTCGATTATGAAACGTCAGTTTTATTCAGGTATTCACGAATTAGTAGTCAGTGCGATCGCAAAGGCTCGCATCGAAATAGCAACGGCGGAATGGAGCATGAATGCTTGTGAACTCACGATCATCTTTCGATACTTTTTGGCAGCAAACATTTCTTGCCGATTCATTCTTATCTCTTATCTGGCGGGCTTCTATATATGAAACATCCTGTAAAGTTTCTTTGAAGTCACTTCTGACTCTAGCTCTTCCAGCATGTTCAAAACGCTGTCACTTCAATGTCTGTACCTGTACTTCTTCAAGCCTCTCGTTTGAAATTAAATGCATGTCTCTTTAGCTAGTGTGTGGGGTTTAGCACGGAAATACAATGCCACCCGCATTGTTAAACGAAAGCAATATTCGAATGCTCAGAGACCTGAGTTTTGCTTTCAGGAAACGAGAGGGCAACCGGAGGCGGCACTGCTTTCGCGATGAATGAGAGAGTGCTTTAAGTTGCAGAATTGTTGGAAAGAAACGTCGGCATGACTACGAGAAATGGCCAGACTCCACCCGGTGATTTGCAGACGCCATTCTACGCGTCTTGCATCAGGCTTTCATAGCAGCACTGTAGACGGAACTGCTTTCTCTGCTCGTAGGGATTCTTTGCAGTTCTATTCTTCAAAGTAGATAACGATTGATATTCCACTTTCGTTACGCTTTCTCAGCGAGATAGATTTTAACATCAAATCTTTCAATAAACAAATCAAATAGAAATTTATTATTTCTATTTTCTACTATTTCTTTTGTTATCTTTCCTTTCCTTTTCTTTCTATTTCTGATTTCATCTTTCTTTTTTTTTCTTCAATTCTTCTCTCGTTCTTTTATCTTCTTTGTTTTTATCTTCTCTTTATCTTTTAAGCGAATTAAAAGAAGCTACGAACAAATGTATTGGAAAAACGTAGATTGATAATTTTATTGCAAAGAAGCCAGTTTGTGCACCGGTTCTGCTGCTCCAGTTCAAGTTCGTGTCTGTTCGTCGAATATCAGTCGTTAGTCAATATAACGAGACCTCACGCTAGCGTGTGTATGTACATATATGCGTTATTTCCTTTCGAGAGCCGTAAGACTGATAACTTAAATCACGTACATAATGTAAATAATATACGTACTCATTAAGGATTTTAATTGCGTCTCGATGGAAATTTTAAGCATCTCTTATCTTACTGGACGATTACCGAGATATTTCTTCTAATAAGTAGATCACGTCTCTGTAGATTTTTTTATCATGTTATAAGTCCTCGTTTCTGTATTTTTATTAGCCACTTGTAATATTTAATAATTTTATGTGTGTATCTTCCAATATATACTAGACATACTATAACATCTATTAAAGTTAATGTTACGGCGTTGTTTTACCGAATCTTTTATCCGAATTGTGTGGGTTGAATATTATTCTATTTTTACAGAGCGTAGTCATTATATATTGTATACATTTTATCATTGTTGGTTGTTATTAATTAGGATGTACTACCTGAGTAAAAGTACATATGTTCATTACACTGGATCGTACGTATATACATACATTTGGGTACCACATTGTAAATATATCAATAAATATTATCTCTTTTGCAATAAAAATTATAGTAATGATTATAATATGATGATATTATCTGTTATTATTTATTCTAATTATTCCTCAATTCTCACTATCTCGATAACTTCATATAATTATTCTTTACTATTTATTGAAATCGTTGGAATTAAATTTGAGAATCGCATTGATATACTTTCGTATATGATTTTTATGGCCAAACAATATTCTCAATCCAATCGAGATAACAACTAACTTTAGTATATATCGCGGGCGATGATTTAAAGGCACAAAACTTGCCGAAGCTTGTCACACCAACGATGCTGTACATGCAGTAAGGTTCCGCAAGAATTCTTTGCAACGGACCGCCACTATCACCCTACAAATATACCAAATTAGACTCTATTCCAATCTTTTCACAATTCTTTAAAATACATTAGGATCTTTAAAATACATGATTATATTTAATAGTAAGAATATTACTGATATTTTTTAGAAGTAAAATTTATCAAATTTAGTTAATTTAAATATATTATGTGTAGTTATTCTTTATAATACATAATGTATATATTTACTGATATATCTTTAAAATTACATATATAAATTTCTTTAGTCTTTAAATTAAAATTGAGGACTTCGGAAGTCGAAATAAATTCAAAAATAAGTAAAGAGTATGGTGTATAACAAAATCCTTAATCTGAAGAATATGAAATGTTTTATTTTCAAAAATTTATTTTAAAAAATAAAAGATTTAAAAATAATTTTAAACAATTTTTCACCTGACAAGTGTCTTTGCCGCCTTCCATTATGCCGGCGCAAAATAAGCTCGATATTAAACCATCAGGTAGTCGCCGAGTACCAAGATCTTCAGCATAAGTCTTTTTACATTCATTTTCGGAAATGTAGTTCAACTGGACTTTCATCAATTCGTTGCTGCCAGTACTGGATTCTGAACAATATCTCACATTATATCTCTCAATATGCAAAAAAGGAATATAAATGATATAAAATTACTATTATTAAATTTTTACTATTATTAAATTTAACATAAACATGAAAATTAAAATAATAATAAAAATAATAATAATAAAAATAATAATAATAAAAATAGTTCCGTGGTTCTAAGAATAAATCAAATATAAATAGAATGCTAATGAAGCTCTGCGATTGTTGATGCATAAATAATATATTTATAAGGCGATAAGATAAATGTTTCTGGATTTCAATTCTCCTCAATGCGGAATTCAAGTACAAACTAGTTTGATTCCGAGTTAAAACATTTCCTATTAACTTTATTGATAAGTATATTTCAATTGTTTGCGAATCTTATCGCCTTATATATTATTTACGCATCAATAATCGCGAAGTTTCACATTTTACTTACTATATTTGTAACAAAAAAAATTTAAATCTAATCTGTAATAAGTTCTTTGCTTCCTGTTTTTTGCCTATTACCGCTTTTTATCTTTGCTCTTTTTGTCTCTTTTTCTGTTTTTTCTGTTTTTTCTCTATGTCGATTGAGATAAAAATTGATGAACTTCATACAAGACAATAAAAAATATGATTATCGATAAAACAGTCGCAAAAAAGTACGAAGTAAAACGCTAGAAACAGGAAGCAAAAAGCATATTGTAGATTAGATTTTAAAAGATACTGACCATAGGATGTTTTCCCAAATCCAGAGGCGATAGCACTTTTTCCTGGTAGTTGGGATTCTATTTCGAGGCACGCAGGTCTCACTTGAGGATTCAACTTCAATGGTTGTTCAAGCTTGAGTAATGCTATATCGTGGTAACTGACCGAAAATTTGTAATCTGGATACTTAATTCTTTCCACGACGTTCCTTTCCTGCATAGCACCGCCAGGAGTTAACAGATTAATTAAGCCGACTCGCACTTTGCTTGCAGGACCCCTAAGAAACACGTAGATGTAATTTAGTAACAGAATACAGTTTTTTCATCCATTTCTGCGTAACGTTCATGTTTCCGAGCAGCACATATCGAATATTTAAAAATTGTGCTTGTATTCTCAAAGAGCAATTGTAAAGCACGTCGTGACGTTTTAAACACGTCACTGCAAAGAGATATTGTTTGTTGTTGTGAATATTTGTATTACTTTAAAGTTGAAACTGATCGAATAGTCCTGCCCTAATATAAGTTTCTATTTGATATCCAAAATCGATGATAATATAGTAATGATGTAAGTGCGAAGAAATAATTGTAACAAAATTATTACTTGTCCGGGGATTCCATACAGTGCGCCGCTGTCAGAATAAAATTCTCGGAGATGATGCTTCCTCCGCATTGCCAGGATACATCTTTGCCATAACCTATCACTGCCTATGATATGGAAAATACTGTTCTGTTAATTATTTTGATGATTAAAATGTTACATGGAAATCTATATTATGTTATTATAAAGGATTCCAAATGACACGTTTTTAGGATATAAATGCATATAAAAGCAAAAATTATTGCTATGCAATGTGTGACAATAAAATAGCAAAAATTATTAGACAAATTACTTAGTTTATTTAACAAAAATATAATAAAATTTAATATTTGCAATTATTATTTTCTATTTTTAAAAATTATAGAGATATGCAAAAGTATATTTTACATATATATTAAAAAAATTTTTTTATTATATAGTTTATATTTTTTAATTTTATGTTTTTTCTGCATATTTATGAATAATTTTATATAAGCATAAATTTTATATTACATTGTTTACATAACATTATATTAGTGACAATTATATTAATCATCATCATTTTCTATTAAGTAATTAAAATTTAGAAAACAATTTTCATTGTCTACAAATGTTAATGCTTATATGTTTGTCACAACATTCAACAACATTATATTCTTCATTATTTTGCAGATTGCGATAAATACGTATTTGCTCTCACCATATGCGGAAATTCCGCATGTTTCGCTTGGATTCCGCCGATGATTAGAGGTGTCTCAACAACGGAGCAGCGGGAAACTTTATTCGAGTCGGCATTGATACGTAAAGTCGGCGAGTTCTCCATTTCGTAAACTAGATCGGCGTATTCTTTACATTCTACGAAGAAGCGAGGATTATGCAAATTGGAAATTATGCAGATCATAGCGGAAAATGCGTGGGAAATGATTTATGGTGCAATTACGATGTGAGGGAATTATGGGAACATATGGAAATTATTTTTATTATTAAATTCATTTATACGCATAATTCTTTTGCTGCAAAATGTGTAGTTCATTAATTTATTATTGAACGTCATGATTACTTAATGCATCTCCTGCGAAATGTGCATCTATTTGTATGTTAATCTAAATAAATATACACGCTTCTTGTAATCAAAGCACATATTCGCATAATGAAGAATAGTTCTATAATTATCTGCAATTACAAACTGTTTTGAAATGTTTTTTTGTGATTGGCCAATTAGTTAAATTTTATTTTCTTTGGTCAAGCAAATGCTTGGTCAATCAAATGCTTTGAAGCATTTACAGTAAACTGCAGCCTAATTAGAATTGATTTTCCAGTAACAAAGGTTTTATGGAAGATTTTATAAAAACTCGATTTTGATTTCTAATGAAAAATTTTAGATAAAATTAAAGACTTAAAGATTATTAAAGTATGGAGATTTGTGATACGAAAACTGAAACAAATAATTGCACATAACATATAAGTCTCTAAATTAAGCATTGTTCTTATTTTTTAATCACTTTTAAGAGTTTAATTTAAACAAATATTTATTTAATTTTGTAATTAATTGCTAAAATATTTAATATTAAAAATTTCCATCTATAAAAAATTAATTTTAAGTTTGGCAAGAAAATAAGATACATTGAAATCATGATATGTGTGCGTGATGTGTGTGATTCGAAATAAACAATTCTTTGAATCCGTGGATATAATGAAGTAGATAGACTAACTTTCTTCACTTTTTCGCGCCGCGGAATTCTTAAATAAAATTGTGATGAACAACACGATCGCAAGCTCTCTGTGCATGTTGTAAATCCACGACGTACCGACACTACCTTCGAACAAAGGCAAATTCTCGCCTTAAAAACAATATAATGCATAACGAAGTGCATGCGGATTGCTCGATGAGGTCGTTTATTAACGATTGATCCATGAATCAAAATGTCATTAAAGATATTAGCGGAACTACAAGCAATGACGTATCCGCTGAATTCTTCTTGGTGCATTTCATAAAATGTTTGCGTCTGCTTCCTTGTAAGTAGGTATTGTACCTTAATAATCAGTTATTTCGTAGAAAAACTGCGTTGTGTTCTGATTTAACCGCATATCATTACTCACGCTCACGATAAAAACATAATCTTCTTTTTACATACAAACACACACATAACATCAATTAAACAAAACATTAACTTAAATTTCAGATTTAACAAGAGATGTTTTAAATACTTGAAAGTATGTATTTCAAAACAATTTTTTTGTAACTACTAAAATAGATTATTATTTGTAGTAATTTTCAATATTGTATTTATTGATAAGTAAATCTTCAATTAACTTTTATAAAATAAAGATTTCTTTTATAAAATAAAAATTTTTCTATAAAATAAAGAACAAAAATTGTAAAATTTTGTTTATCACCTATTAGCCTGAGATATAATTTGCAAGAATTTTGCTAAGAATGCTATACCTTCTAAAAAAGCGTTTACAAATCCTATTTAATTAAAAATCATTTTATTATTACTCAAACACACACTACATTCTTCTGTATTATTATATTATACATCCTAGAATGCGTGAGACATAAATTTTACATTTAACACTTTACTTCATTCATAAAGATATTTCTCTTTCATACAGATGCATATTTTCTGCGAAACCATTAATTTATCTTAGAATAATTAATATATTATTAAACTTATGTTAATTGTATATTATCGTATCAACTTCTTGTAGATAACATTTAAAAAATGCTACATCCCTGTATATGTGTTTCGATCTTAATGAAACTGGCTTTAACAAACCCATCGGGCCTTTGGCAGCGTCGTAACGTCAATCATGATGGATCGAATCGGATTTGTTCCATATATTAAGTTCGATTTGAAGTGTTGAAAAATATCTAATCATTATTAGATCTCTAATAGCTTAGTAATATGTAATCTATAAACGAAATAGTGATACCATAAAAGAAATAAATTATATTAATCGTAATAAGATCTAAGTTCTGTAATGAATCACAAAAATTTCCAAATATCTGCAATTTACTCTTACGTTATAAATAAATCGTTTTGCGCGTGCGCACGCGCTAAACGATTGTCATCATAAAATAAATCAGACTGTTATCCTTTGTATCAAGACTTTTTTAAGAAAGTTACATACATTTATTTCAAGTAAGTTAACGTATTTCCTATTGAATGAATACGGTAAAAAAATTGTCGTAATATAGTAAAAATGCAGAATAATAAGAGATAGATATGACTAACATAGATACAATTCTAGGATTCTTTGCAATTATTCTAACGAAATTTTCGGTTTTTTCTGTGTTGCATAAAAACAAGATAATGACAATGACATATTATCTTGTTTTTATGCAACACAAGAACAAGACAAACAAGATAATATGTATGATACACTTGTATAAAATATTGTACTGAGGAAAAAAAGAATTATTTATTTGGCAAAATTAATTTAATTTGTTTTTATTTCTTTCGATAAATACATGCATCCTCTAACAAAAAAGATGAAAATAAACTAAATTAAATTAGTTTACATCTTTACATTTTTTGTTAGAGAATACATATATATTTAAATTAAATAAATTTTTTTATTTATATTGAGTAAATAAGATTATTTCCCACTAAATTAATGCTATTAATACAACATTATTTTTTCTATATTCAGACGAAAAGGCTGTAAGCCTTTTATTACCTTTTATTTAGCTTTTATTTACAATTTTAAGCCTTTTATTTACAATTTTTATTTCAGTATTTATTAAAAAAAATATAAATATTTTAAGTATGAATTAACAAATCCAAATAAGAAGTGAGAAATTGATTACATGAATGCATACAAAATCATATATGTACATTTCATTATTCATTGGATATCTGTGGAATTAATGATCTATATTTCCATTAAATTCAAATGACGAAATATAATGTAGGCACACGAAGAAAATTTTCTTTTAAAATTTACCTTGAAAATATGGTAGTTGTAATACATTATTTAACAAATTTTTATCATGCACTTCAGTAAAATTAATCAAACTGATTTTATACTTTATTGTAGTTGTATTAATGAATGAGAGAGATTTACATTAAAATTCTTCGAAATACAATATTATTCCACGATTGTCATATTTTCAAGATAAATTCTAAGAAAAACTTCTCTTCGTGCAGAGATAACTTTTTAGTATCGTTTTTCGTGACGACATGCATGATAATAATTCGCGGGAAAGATTCGCACATTAAAAATGGAAATTACAGAAATTACAACGATTTCAATCAAGGTCACATAAGAATTACAGAGGCTTCAATTCCTGTTACAGATCGCTTGCGGCACGCGACAATTCATTGCCTCTTAATTATCCATTAGATCGATTTGCTGAGATTTTCCTCCAAGACGTAAATGGAATCATATGTACGATCCACTGATTTATCAAGAAGTACATTACGAGAATGACCTCGTGGTTCATCACCACCACTGGGAGAATGAGCGATCGAGTGGGGATCGGGAAAAACAGAAACGTGTTAGACGAGGTATATCTTCCATCGCCAACGAGTCTTTGGGATCAGACGAGAAAATAGCGTGATCAAGACTGACCAAGGCTGAGGATGCCAGTGAGCGTGTCGATCGCTTCATCGTTATTATTATTGATGTTGGTTTCGATCTTGTCACCGACTCATGGAATGTACATCGGACGTGAGTATTAGTTCGCTAAAAATACGGGAACAAATATATCGAGTGCATTCTTCTCAGTGAATGGAAAAATCTTCCGAACCACGTGCTGTATAATAAAGAAAATCTATTATACAGTAATATGTTTTCTTTGTCTGATTATAAATGATTATATATTTAATACATAATTATAAATGTATTATTTGGTTTTGTGTAATTTCTTTACTTTTAATTTTGCATGCAAAAGAAGAAATAATTATTTGATAATTACGCGTCAAGCATCAACAATTAGTTTTGTGTTTATCCATGTAATATACTACGTTGTATAATTTAGTATTCGTCATAATGATTTAACAATTGACAATTGCAAAGCTTGTAAAAATACTTCTGACATTGAAAAAGAAGCTTGTATTTTTAATTTATTATAACAAATAAATCCGACTCAATCTTGTTAACAAGAAAGATTAATCAATGTTGTATCTCATTAATTTATATATCTTCAAATAAAAAAATTCATCATAAAATCAAAATGACATCAAAATGACTCTAAAATAATTAAAAGTCACTTTTCAAATTATAACAATTTATTTTAATGTTATTTTGACATTATCGCGATTTGTTGTTTAGATCAGTCTCAATTCTTTTTAGATTTATGAAAAAAACATGTGGCACGAAAATTATTATAAAATTTTAAATTATACTTGAAATAAATTTATGAAATCCCTTTCAATTAGTCTACGTAATTATATTTATATTTACTAAAATAATCTTAAATGTTACAACTAACTCTTTTCTTTTCTATAATAAATATTTTAAAGCAATAAATAATTCAACTTGAAAAGTCTCACATTAATATCTTTATTCTTAAATTTTTAGTTCCAAAATTGAATCGAAAAAAATATTTTTAAATAGTAATCATTAATTTTATCAATATAAACAGAATAGTCTGCAGCGAATAAGTCAATAAATGTATTAATGCTATTTATCAGAGCCAATACAAGTGCTAAAGTGTGTAACAATTCATTTATTTTAATTCTATTATTTTAGTTCTAACAAATTTTGATATAGAAATATTTATACAACTTTTTTTAAAACTTTATAACTCATCTTGTGCAATTTAAAAATATAAGTAATGATGTCGTTGAAATGTTTATATATAACTTTCTAGGTAAGTGAAAAATCTATACAACTAATTTCTAATCATTTTTAACATTATATTAACTGTATTAAAATTTGTAATACACAACTGTTTTATAATTAATCATAAAAAATTAATCATAAAACAATATCTTAAAGATCATATACAGATGTTAATATAGCTTTCGTCAATAATTACCAAAATTAAATAATTTTTATCTTCATATTTATCTTCATATATTCATCATTTATGTACATGCGTATAAATGTTTGAGATACGCCAAACATTATTTATAGGCATGTATATAAATGAATATATTTTTAAAAATGTGGTTTCGATTTAAATTTAAGATTTAGCTAGGGTGATTAGCATGAACTCCCCTTCCCTCCCCCCCCCCCTCACTTAACATGCTAACTCTGAGCTATAAATTGTCCGACAATTTAGCATTTGATTGTTATTCAACTCCTCGTATAAGTTTTTATGATGAATTTACTATAAACTGTTAAAAGTATTTTTTTCGTATTTTCTCAGAACTTTGTGCTCCTTGGATAGATTAATAATAATAATTACAATAACCTCATTTTATATAAAATTATAATGTTTTACAAACATACACATTATTTCTACACAATACATCCTTGTTCGCAGTTGTATAAATATTTTAAAATATGAATGAAATTACTTAAAAATCGAGTTAAAATATAGAGTTATATAAACGTTTCAAAAACATTTATATTACAAAACAATTAATTTATAAATAATAGTTGTAAAGACGTTTCAAAAATTTAAAATCTTGTAATGAGTATTATCAGACGATTAACATATAATGATCAGTATAGGTACAAAATCTTAAAATAAATATCACATTACTCTAATTTATACATAATTGTAAAGATGTCATGAAAACTTCATATGAATATTGTCTATCGATTAAATTTTATGTAATCATAGATGTTATAAAAACTACAAATAATTATGTAATTGACATTAATTTTTCTCGTATAATTTTCCGATA